CGGTCTTCCCGGTCTACCAAGGACCCGGCCCGCCGCGACCGGGTAGTCTGGGTCCTCCGGAAGACCCGCCCTGTCGTTTTGGACACAGCCCTTGAGGGCCGCTATCCTGCATGAGGTTTTCCTGCTACAACACACCTGATTCAATGATAGAATTAACTCGTCAAATTGGGCAGAACCCTTTTGATTAACCCAGCGATCAAAATCAGGTATGCTGAGCAGGAAAACCTCTAAAACACGCAGGATAGCGGCCACAGGTAAAATAAAGATTTACACAACAACACATATTGAGAAAATGGTAACAAGAGGTTTGTTTTGTTTTATTTTGTTTTTTATCAACAAACAGCAAATCTCTGTTTCCCAGAGGAAAGGAGAGGCAAAACTTTTCTTTTCTTTAAAGTTCTCAGCAGAGCTGAAATTATTAAGTCTGGGAAGAGGAGAGGTTTGACCCCAGGTGGTCGAAAAGTCAAACTGTGGCGAGGTGAGGTGAGGTGAGGGGTTCCCCTATATAAGAAAATGTCTTCATAAAACCAGTTCTTTGCATATCCACAGGCTAACAGCTTTTGTTAACCATATTTTAATATCTCATAAACCTTCCGAAAAGGTGCTCTCCACAAATCTCCATTCCAAATGAAATTCAATATGTCTGTGTTTTGCATGTCAGTGTGTATAAGTGTGTGTGTTGTGTATGCTCCACACGTCTCCATTCAGAGCATTGGCAGCTCCCTGTAGCGTCCAGGTGAACAAAGCCAACTGTCTTCTGAAACGGTTTTCATTGAATCGTACAGGGTCTGAGGTCAGCAGGGCCAAGTGCTCAGTGAGGGCACTCAGGGTGTGATTGCCACGCCCGTGGATCACGTGACGGAATGGCGTCTCCATTGCAGACACATACTGGGACAGGAAGTAGTACTCCACCTGGAAGCAAAAAATAGTTAAAATTATGTGTTTTTTTTATGTATTCACGTGTGTTGTTTGTTGTGTTTTTTATTTATGAAACCTCCTTTTTCTGGCCACTACCTCAGTTTATACAAATATTAAAACATAGTATTAGGGCCAGAGTAAGAGATTTTCTTTGTTTATTTATGAGAAAGAGTCAGTGTAGCATGGCGTCCATTTACCTTGCTTTACAGTAAAAGCTCATGATTTTCATTTCATTTTGACCTACTTAATTCAGTTTTCAAAGAGGGGGCAGCAAATGCTGGCGCTGAAGAGGGATGTTATCGGCACCTAAAGAAGCTGTTGATGGAGAGCCATTCAAGGAAGGAGAAAGCAGCCAAGGTCATTATCACTCATTGTCATCCAGTGAAGTGCACCATGTAGTCTGAATCTTGGTATCAGAATTATGAAATTTGCTTAACTGTAAATATTGACTTTTTGTTTTTATTTATTTATTTGAAGKTTAGGAGGATCCTCCACCCAAGAATCCAAGGCCATCTTGTCCACTGGCTGTTCTTCTCGGTGAATGATGCGGTGGTGGTGCAGCACAACCCAAGACGTATACCCAAGAGGACGAGGCTAAGGAGCAGATGGCCCGCTACAAGGAGGCAGATCTCTTTGAAGTGAAAAAAGATCCACTGGTTTGGTGGAAGGAGCACCAATATGAGTATCCACTCTTGTCACATATTGCTAAAAGGTACCTCTGTGTCCCTGGCACTAGTGTTTCCTCAGAAAGGGTCTTCTCCACAGCTGGAGATATCATCACTGCGCAGAGAAGTGCACTTCTCCCAGAGCACGTCAATCAGATTCTATTCCTGAACAAAAACCTGAGGAGAATGTGGATCACTTGGTCTGCAGAGTTGACTTCCTGTCCAGAGTGGTCAGGACCTACCGTCCTTAAGCTGCTTGCTAAAATGGGTTCATTTGAAGTTAAATGTTTTTCATTACTTGAATTATTGACTGTTTTGGAGAAGTCGTATTATGTTTGTTTACTTACCAGTTACTAGAGTGACTCACTCAATGTTGTGACTAYCAAGGTCAAAAAAGCTGTTAATGAAACTGTTCAGAACAGGGTATTTGCTGCACTTTATTTTATTTTTTTATAAAGGCTTGTAAGCATTTAATTTTTTTACAAAGGCTTGTAAGCACTTTATTTATTTTACAAAGGCTTGTAAGCACTTTATTTATTTTACAAAGGCTTGGAAGCACTTTAATTAAAAAAAAGGCTTGGATGCACTTTAATTTACAAAGGTTTGTAAGCACTTTATKTWWTTTACAAAGGTTTGTAAGCACTTTATKTWWTTTACAAAGGTTTGTAAGCACTTTATTTAWTTTACAAAGGTTTGTAAGCACTTTATKTWWTTTACAAAGGTTTGTAAGCACTTTATKTWWTTTACAAAGGTTTGTAAGCACTTTATTTAWTTTACAAAGGTTTGTAAGCACTTTATTTATTTTACAAAGGTTTGTAAGCACTTTATTTAATTTAGAAAGGTTTGTAAGCACTTTATTATTTTTTTACAAAGGCTTGGAGCACTTTATTTTTTTTTTTTTACAAAGGCTTGGAAGCACTTTATTTTTTTACAAAGGCTTGGAAGCTACAGTTTGCACTGTTTCAATCAATTAAAGGAAACTAATTTGCTCACCACATCTTTGATTCATTTTTTCCAGCTGTAAACTCCAAGTCTCTTTCCAATCAGAGCCAGGTATTGTGTAGTTGGTGCTTTAATCAGTTTTCAGTTCARTTAATTCAATCCAAATCTATGGAGCAGTCACAAAATGTCACCAAAATCTCTGTCTGTCCCTCTAAAATCATTCAGAAAATCGAATCGTATCGAATCGTATCGTTCACTGAATATTGTGATATATATTGTATCGTGAGAAGAATATTGAATATTGTATTGTATCATGAGATTAGTGTATCGCTACAGCCCTAACTTGTACCTATGACGGTATCGTAGTACTTATTCAGTTAATATTGCTAATACCTCACAATGCAAAGGTTGTAAGGATGTTTCAGTGATTTTTATTAATCATACCTTCATAATGCGGGTGTTGTAGAGGCGTGCTGTAGTGGGATCATGCAGGTCACTGTAGTCAATGCCTCTCTGTAATGTCTCTGCAGCTCGACTGTAGTCTCCTCTGGCACTGAACAACCATTGAGGAGAAACACCTCTGGACTGAMGAGACACAGGAAAAAAGACCAATTTGCTGTGAGACCGCCTAAATACCGGACTAAAGAAAGTTGTAAAGCAAAGTTACCTGCAGCTCGGCTGAGTGTTTGTTGAGCTGAGCACTGAACAGCAATACTGTCTGTGCATAGGAAGTGATGCGTAAAGGTAGGATGTGGTCATGGACCAATCGCAGCACCATTTCTCCCACCAGCTGCCCCAGGCTTTGCCCAATGACCCCAAGACGACCCCCCAGAACTTCCTGTAGTCGGGAGACACTGTCCATTGGTGTGTTGACAAAAGGGTAYGCTCGCTCCTGAACACAGAAAAACAATGACATGCTGACAATGTTAAATACAATGAAGCATCATGGCATTATAAGCCATCTTTTGATGGGACTAAATCACATTACATATTAAAATAAAGTCACATCTTAGTTTATATACATTGGGTTCAGAAAGTATTCAGACCCTCTTCACTGCAGTTTTTAATGTTGAAATCTGATATTACAATTATTTAATCATTTTTACTGATTTACACTCAAAGGGTCATGATTACAAAGTAAAAATGTAAACAACTTTAGAAAATATGATAACTACAGAATCTGTTTTATCAGTCCTTCAAGTACTATTTATTGTTTACATGAAATGGACATTTCTGTTTATAAGCCCTGATCAGTGGAGGTGTTTTTAGTTATCACTCCAGAACATAGGGTTAACCTGATGCACCAAAAATTTTATTAGCATCAGACTGAAAAATAAAATTGCAAAAAAATTTACAGTGTCTGAATATTTTCTGATCTTATATATTCCTAAAGCAAACTAYACTCACCGGCCACTTTATTAGGTATATCTGTCCAGCTACTCATTAACACAAATGTGGAATCAGCCAATCACATGGCAGCAACTCAATACATTTAGGTATGTGGACATGGCCAAGATGATCTGCTGCAGAATGAGGAAGAAAGGTGATTTAAGTGACTTTGAACATGGCGTGATTGTTGGTGACAGGCTGGTCTATTTCAGAAACTGCTGCTCTACTGGGATTTTCACCCACAACCATCTCTGTGGTTTACAGAGAATGGTCTGAAAAAGAGAAAATATCCAGTGAGCAGCAGTTCTGTGGGCGCAAACGTCTTGTTGATGCCAGAGGTCAGAGGAGAATGGTCAGACTGGTTCGAGTTGATAGAACAGCAACAGTAACTCAAATAACCACTCGTTATAACCAAGGTATGCAGAAGAGCATCTCTGAATGCACAACATGTCAAACTTTGAGGCAGATGGGCTTCAGCAGCAGAAGACCACACCTGGTGCCACTCCTGTCAGCTAAGAACAGGAAACTGAGGCTACAATTCACATAGAATCACCAAAATTGGACGAGAAGATTGGAAAAACATTACCTGGTCTGATGAGTCTCGATTTCTGCTGCGACATTCAGATGCTAGGGTCAGAATTTGGTGTCAACATTAAAGCATGGATCCATCCTGCCTTGTATCAATGGCTCAGGCTGGTGGTGGGGATGCAATGGTGTGGGGGATATTTTCCTGGCACACTTTGGGCCCCTTGGTACAAAGTGACCATCATGTCAACGCCACAGCCCACTTGAGTATTGTTGCTGACCATGTCCATCCCTTTATGACCACAATGTACCCAACATCTGATGGCTACTTCCAGCAGGATAACGCTCCATGTCATAAAGCTGGAATCATCTCAGACTGGTTTCTTGAACATGACATTGAGTTCACTGTACTCAAATGGCCTCCACAGTCACCTG